TTTGTTCACCTTTGCAGTGATGAGGAAAACCTTTTTCTAGTACTTGTAACTGGCTCCTCTTATTTGCATTTCAAATGAAAAAGAAGAGAGAGGAAAACCAGAGATTCTTTGTGGTCTCTGTGCATCACACATATGGCCTCTGCACCTGTGTGAAGCCTGTTACTGGGAAGTTTCAGTATCTAAGAGTGGTTTTGCAGGAACCCCTCCCCCATCCCAGTATCAGTAATAAAAGGGAGGAGTTCCCACCTTTTCCATCAATTATTTGACGTGTCTCTGGTGTACCTAGTAGTATTTCTCTTCTCTTTAATTCTTGAGCATTTTTACTACTCTACAGTCCTCTTTTCTCTGGAAATATCTTGGTGTCTTTATGTGTAAATTTTTTATATTATTATTTTTCTTAATATTAATTCTTATTTTTCTTACCCTTGGCAAGTTTTTTTGTTTGTTTCACAAACCACTCCCTTACCCACCATGAAAAGCTACCACTCTGTTGGTGATCCTATGCTGTTTCAAACTTACTTTGCTCTTTTTCATTTTAGAGGAAACAGGTGATTTTAACACCAACTGCAGAAGGTAGTTAATAAAATTTGGCTTGTGAAAGGGAGCTGCTACAGGGAAGGAAGCAACATTTGGAGGTGAATTTCTGTGGGAGAGACAAAATATTGCCTAACTGAAAAACCCACATCTTAAGATGCTTTCTGTGTTTTGCCATTGTGTGTTGGGTGATGTTTAATTTTCAGAAGGAAACTTCTGTGGGGCTTAGGTTTTTGGGAAACTATGCCATATGTGCCATTAGACCTTCTCTTTAACTGGGGGACATGGGGACACAACATGGTACTGTTCACTGGGTAGAAAGGGAAAGGTACTCTACATGTGATGAGAGGTACCCTTAGTATATTGGTACCAGTTAGTATATGTAATTATTGGGTACTTAGCCAAAATATACTTTGTGGATCCCTGACTTTTCCTGAGGCTTTGGAGAGCCATTGCTAGGCAGAATAAACCGTATTTATCTAGGCTAACCCTTTATAACATACTTATATTGTTCACAAGTGCTGAAAGTACTTTTCTTCCTGGGTGTGCCCTAACGGGAACTTGTGAGTACCTGTCTCACTGGTTGCATCAAATAACAACTTACCTGTAGTATAGCTGACCCACAGCTTTACTTTCCTTAGCAATATAGCACACTCTTCAGAAAAGAATTATTACTAACTAAAGTTAATATGCTGCATTCCTGAAGCCTTTTGTACAGTATGGAAGATCAATAGTAGTATTTATTGTATGGCACATTGATCTGGAATGAATGGAAGAACTGTGTGATGGAGTTAGAATAGGAAAGACAGCAAGTTGCGATCTAAAGATGTTTAAATGGAACATCTTTAAGCCATTTTTCTCCCATGGCTGCTAGAAACTCTGTCCTTTATTTTACTTAATTTAGTATTTTATACAATAACACAGATCTCTAACCTCTATTTGTGTGAGCTTCAGGTTCCCCATCGAAATCTTGAAATCTTTTGGCCTTTGTCTTTTAAAGGGTTTTTTTAAACTACTCTTAAAATGTCTGCATTCATGTTAGGTAATAAGCTAGAATCTTGCTTAACCATATTTTGTAAAACATTTTTTCTTCATGTTTTGTTGGAATTTTGTCTAATTTTATGTATTTCTGTACTTATCCTTCCTGGCTATCCCTTTATTAAATTGAGCTTAGTTGAGTAGTTTCTTGAATAGAGATGGTCTGTATTAAGGGTGGGCACAAAGTCAGATCAGGAACTTCTGGTAGATCTCTAGGTGCTTTGTGGGAGATTGACAAGAGGTTTCTGCTTCCAGTTTAGCAATAGCAACAACATTAAGGCTTCCTGGCACCCCCCTCCCCCGGCAAAAGGGCTGTTAAACCAAAACTAGAAGTGGATTTTTGTGTGAAAGAACTGTATTTCCAGTACTGAAAATGAAAAGGCAGTCTAGTCTGTCCCATAATTCTGAGTAAGGCGTGGGCACCACACTGCCCAAATATTTTGGATGACCTGCCACCTACCCTATCAGTGTGGACAACAAACGGATTATAGAAACTTTGATCCAAAACAATTGGAAAGTTCCAATTCCAAATGTCTGTGCCTGTGTATGTTTTGTACCTGACTCTAGTTAATAGATCTTGAAATTCAAGTAAAAAAAGATCCTGTATAGTTGAAGTCTGCTTAGCTTTGGTCTGCATATCAAATAAAATGCTATTGCCTTGCTCTGCATTTTCTTCTCAGCCTTGGAATGTTATTTTGCACTCAGAGTGCATATGCTGTCTTGATTTATAGCAAGTGAATTAGCACAAGTTGCTTGGGAATTATTTTTTTATTGATTGTAGTTGCCCTTTAAATTAAACTGTGGCATTTTTGTTGTAATCTTTAATACATTGTATTATTGACAATTTAGCAGCTTTGGCATTGTGCATATGGTAATGCAGTTTGATCCAAAGAAGAGGGTTGTGACAAGAAACTGTACTCTCTCCCTGCTGATCCCTGTTTTTTCAGCTCACTTATTTGACCATACAAGCATAGAGAAAAGGAAAGGAAACTGTCTACCTAATCTTGACACTCTGATTTCCAGCGTTAACTGTGCACAAGGCTCAATCTATTCCCCACAATGCAGTTAAATGGTGTCACTCTTGACAATTCTAGCTTAAATCAGCACTACTGCACAAGTAGTAATTTGTGTTGGTTATGAATGCATAATCTGTGCATCTTCCTACAAATCTCAGGTTTACAGAATTGTCCCAACAGCCAAACTGTAGTTCATGGTTATTTAATTATGTACGTTTTTTATGTTGTGAGCCAACTTGAGCCCCAGTCACTGGGATAAATAAATAAAATAAATATTGTCACAGGTTACAAATCCTCTCTTTTATGATTGCACTGTGTTACTGCAGGAGCTGTATCCAGCCATGAGAACGTCTGATGGTACTGATTCAAGTCACTTGACATTCTTCCCAATTATGTAACATCATGTGTTCCAGGTTCTGTTTTTAGGTCTTTGGGATTTAAGAAAGCATAATTTATGTTATGCAATCTGGCATGATTTTATTGTTTACATCATAATTATATTTATATCCCACCTGTTTTCTTTCAAGGAACTCAATGAAGCTTATATAATTTTCCACCTCTGAATCTTATCCTCACAGCAAGAACCCTGTGAGGTAGGTTGGGCTGAGAGTTTGTGACTGGCCCGAAGTCACCCAGTTAGTTCCATGACTAGAAAAAAAGAGTCCCATTCCCACATTCTTAATAACTACATTTATAATTGATGTAACGCTGATGGAATATTTGTTTTCGTTTGTATTGTTTAGTTTTGGTCTGTCTGGTTGTTCTTTCATTGTTTAATTTCAAATTTAGTAATTTAATAAAATTTAAAAAGTTAAACATGAAAGTTAATTGGACACTCTGTGCTTCTCAGATACTATGCTAAGTGCATATCTGGCCGCCTTCCCCTAAATACATCAGATTTACTCCTGATTTACATCAGATTTACAAATACTCCTGAGAACTTTCAAGGAGGCCATATTGGCCATTTCATGACCGAAAAGAATGTTGTCTGGTTGTGGTGCATATGTGAACTGTCTTGCTAGTGGCACCCATCCCCTGGAATATTTTCTCACATCTGGTTTGAGAGGTGACAGATGAGCTTCAGATGCCTCTTGAAAATGCATTTTTTTATTCAGGCTTTCCCTGACTTATAGTCAGTTATAATATACTTCTATCTTATGCCCTATGCTTTAGCAACTGCTTTGTTGTTGCTTTTAAGGTATTTATTGTTTTACACTTTTTAATATTGGTTTTCATACTGTACTGTATATTTGTTTATGGAAATTGCTTGGCAAACCTTGGATGTCAAGTGGCATAGAAGCTGCTTATACCACTGACTGGATGACTGGGGAATCCAGGTTAGTGCCATCTTTGTACTTCTGCCAGACGGAATAGACTTTGTATTTGGACCAGCTTTTAGCATTCAAGCTGTTTGCTGAAATAGATATTAAAAGGTGGATGCTCTGTCTTTTTTTCTTTCTTTGATGTATCAGTAGGCTTTGATGTTCAAATCATAACTTACCATTACAGCCTATATTTTGGTGTTAGCTATTTGCAATGCTATTTGAGTATTACTCCTGGTGGAAAGGCAGGATATGAGCTAAATATATAAAGGCTGCAGGAACACCTGGTGGACTGTGGAGTGGACTCTGAAGAACATCTAATCTCATTGCCTTCCTTGCTGTGCCCATCGGTGGAGCAGAGCCATTGTTTCATGCCATCGGGGGCAATCCCTGTTCCAGGTCTGGCGTTGTGAGGGCAGAATTGCCTGCTTGACTTCCAAACTCTGGCCTGATTCGGGAATCATTAAGGTTGAAAAGCTGTAAACACTGTAAAATTTAAAAATGTTGAGGGGAGGGCAGCAAAAATGCTCTCTGGTTTCCATGACATCATGTTGAGATATTTCACCAGTGACATTTATTTATCTATTTATTTATGTTGTTATAGTTACAGCCCAGCCTTTTTCCTGCAAGGAATTTAAGGTGGCTTACATAGGGTCCCCTCCTCTCCATCTTGTTTTCTCAACAACAATCCTGTGAGGTAGGTTGGACTGAGAACCAGAGACTGGCCAAAGTCATCCAGTGAGCTTCATGGGAACTTGAACCCACACTGCTGGGTCCCAGTCAAGCAGTTTAACCACGTCACACTGGATTTCTGTATTGAGTTGTGCAGGAGGGTGAGGAATTATAAGGATGTTTTTATTTTGGGAAAAGGCCTGATTTTCCTTGGTGACATCTGGGAGTGGACTAGAAGAATTTGAAGTCATCCCTTCAATTTCATGCCATCTTCTGGGTGTCCACTCTCTCCAATCTTCTATTCCTTGAATTTGCATTTTGCCACTCAAGTCTGAAATGTCCTGAGAGATAAAACTTCACCTTTTACAAACTGTTTCTGCTCCTCTGTAACCATTTGTGTGTTCTCTTTCTTTTAGAGGGACGGATGCTGATTCAGGACATTTCTTCCCTGGCCACCAGAGGGCATCTGGAGAGCACATCTGATTTAGTTGTGGACTCCACCTACTACAGCAGTTTTTACCAGCCATCCCTGTATCCTTACTACAACAACCTATACAACTACTCGCAGTACCAGATGGCTGTGTCTAGTGAAACCACTTCTGGAGATATGGGGAGCCCACTGGTTGGGTCCCCTGTCAAAAGCAGCCTCCTGAGCCGCCAAGCAACCTATATGTCAAGCCAATCAGGAAATCAGTGGCAGGTACTGTGTCAATTAATAATGTCAGGGATAAGAACATAAGAAGACCTGGATGAGACCAAAGACCTACATAGTCCAGAGTTCTGTTCCTGCAGTGTCCAACCAGATCGCCATAGAAAGTCCAAAAGCAGCACATGAGGGCAAGAGTAGCCTTTCACTTGAGTTCCCTAGCAGCTTGTATACAGAGACATATTAGAAGACAACTAGTAACCATGGATAGCTTTATCTTCCAAGAATTTCACTAATACCTTTTTAAAGCCATTCAGTTAATTAATAGCTGCACCTACAACTTGTAGTTGCAGATTCCTGTGGAGTGTCTGTGCACTAGATCCATGGTCTTGTCTGAAGAACATTTAGGCTGTCACAGTAATTCAAGTTCAGTTTCATCCTCACAACAACAACCCTGTGAACTAGGTTAGGCTGAGAGTGAGTGACTGACCTAAAGTCACCCAGTGAGCTCCATGGCTAAGTTGCTTTGAGTTCTTTGTAAGAAAAAAGCCGGATATAAATTTAATAAATAAAAAAATACGTTGGAGGATGCCAGTTTGGGGAAGGCTGATATAAACCATAATATACAGCATGGCATTAAAATACCTATCTGTTCCAATATAGAATGGATAAATAATGTCTGGAATGAATTTGACTCACAACAAACTGAAACTAATAAGTAATGAAGTAAATAGGGCAGTGAAAATATAAGCAGTTGTATGTTTAAAAAGAAGACCCAATGGTACAAGCATAATATGAATGTTAGAGCAACTATTAAAGTAACACTACTGTTTATAGAAAGTAGGATTCTATTATTGGCTTAACAGCTAGCGTCAAACCATTTCCACCAAAAGTAGTGAGTAATTACTATATGGGAAATGACTTCATGTATATTTGGTCTTCTGGTCTGCTAATTTTCCCATCATTACACTTTACCCAGTTTTTCAGAAACTAGAGTTGTTTCCTTAGAAGCTTGTCTCATTTCAGTGTTTCTCTCATTTCAGTGTTTCTGCTCCACTGATGGGTGCTGTGTTTAACCCTAAATTACTTAAGAGGTTTTTCAAGGGTTGAATAATTTGCAGTGTTTTTTGGAGAACAGCTTTTGTTGATACAGAAGAATGCAGACTTGAATTTTCAGTGAAGCAGAAGTGAAGTATAGCTGCTTTGTGCTGGGCATTCCACAGAAGAGAATTGGGAGATGTCCATGTAATTCAAAAACATATTCTTGCACTGTCGGATCCATTAAGTGCAAACCATACCACCTTGCCCGTTTGGTTCATAGTTTTGGATGAATCCTAACCATGAAGTACAGTGCTAGCACCTACCTTGCTTGACTTTCTTAAGTTATCAAACATAACAAGCATGGCTCCACTTTTCTGTAAGGCCAGAGACTGAGGCATGGCAATACTGGGAAGCAACAATTTTTAACCGTATCTCACTGTCATGGATTTGTTAATTTGCATTCTTCAGTTTAAGTGTTTTGGTCCTCTGAGGTCAATTAATTTCTAGTTCACATAGATGACTCACATCAGTATGTGCTTTTCTCATGTTGCAGGCTTATATTCACAAGTAAGACCCACTGAGTAAAATAAAACTTTGTCCCTTGCAAGTGTATGTAGAATTTTAGCTTTAGTCTATCCATTTGAAGTTAGGTTCTTGATTAGAGGAAATGAAACACTATCTAAACAGAAGAATATTTGTAAAAGCTTGTCCAAACAGGAATTCTTGCCCCTGAAGTCTAATTTCCCTTTCTGGTTTTGCTACCATAATAAGTCTCCTTTCTAGTCAAGGAAACAATGGTCAAAGGAAAAGGCATCCAAAAGCTTCAGATATTATACCCTGAATTAATACCAGATATAAATGGAGATCTTGGAGTTTTATATTTTAAATACAATAGGGCAAAAATCACCATGTTCCATTTTAGATTTTTGTTTTTATGTGCCGTCAGATTATCTCCAACTTATGGGCACTACCTGTTTTAATTCTTTGCTGTCTCAATGATTAGAAAGAAAATATTAAATAACTGCCTTGGAAAGCTAAAAGGAAAAATTAATTGGCTGTACTAAGAAATATATTACATTGTTAATTAGAAGAGGTGTTGAGCTTGTTGACCTAAACAACTTGTGTGTGAAGGATTTAAAAAACACAGACATAATTTAAGCAGCTTAGAATATGAACTCAAAGTAGTTGCCTCCTCAACTAAGAAAAATGTTACCCTCATCACCTTTACCCTCATTACAGTCCTCAGGGGGAGTCACCAAAAAGGTTTGAAATGGCTGTGATCCACATAAGGATGGTAATGTATAAAAACAGCTGACCATGCTGGGTATTTCCATTCCTAATGGCTGCTGGTGTCTATTCAGAGATTCTTCACAAGAATTGTGGGAATCCACATAGTAAGCCAATATCAGAGGTTAGTGTGTCTGAGGAATGTTGTCACATGGAAACATTTTCCTCTCTCTTCTGAATGAAGACCATAAGGTTTGAATTGGTCATCATTCAGAGGTGGAAACATCCTTGTCCTTTGGTTGCTTTGGCTCCTCAACAGTTGATGCTAGTGTCTGGTTATCTTCTCTGCTTCTCACAGTTTTGACTGTTCAGCATTTAATTTGTCTTCAAAGAATTTGGGTTATTTTATATACTTCTGTATACATACAAGTTTTCTTTGGTGAACTTGTCCAAGAAATGAAAAGAATGAATAGTGTAGATATATATGTGTGTGTAAAACAAATTAAAGACACATTTAATGTTTTCAGAGAGGGAAAAGTCCTACAGTTCCCAGAATGCTGGAAATTGTAGGACTTTCTGTCTAAGCATGTGTAGGATTGCATCCTAAATAAGAAAAATAGAGCTGAGGGGAGACACTATTGTCCTGAATAAGCTTGCACTATCTATCCATCTATCTGTCTGATAGATAGTGATAGTAGTCTGTTATCAGATACCAATTTATAGATTGAATTCCACACAGCATTTTAAAATATAATTCTCACCACTCTAGAAACAAAGCCAGTTGGAATTTTAAATATTGGGTCCAGTAGTAACATATTGTTGGATCCTCTCTGCAGCCTAAAACAGTTATGGTTTGCCATGCAGGTGTACATCATATTCAGTATTTGTAAGATACCCTTCACAATACAGATTTATGCTAAAAGTAACCTAATGTTTCTGACAGCTCAAGTGTGACATGAATATAATCCATATTTCTTGGAGAAGCTAATCTAAGCCGTTTATTTTCCGATACTGCTGATAGGGCTATATCTCTTGATGTCACAGTGGTTGAGATTCTGATGGTAACATATTGTTTGTGGGTCACTGCTTCTGTCTAAAACAGTAGGTTGGAACAGAATAGCAAAGGTTAATTAAGTTTGTCTATCAAGGTGGGACAGATATGGATGGTGCTTATATTTTCATCCTAGATTCCAAGAGAGGCAAACCATGGTAAAGTCACCATATTTTTCTTCATGAAGGAAAAGTCACTGAGCAGAATTTAGAATTTAATCTCAGTTGCTCCAAACAGTTCTAATGTGATAATGAGGAATATAATACAGTTAATATGGTAATACTGAAAATTCCACTTCCTTTTAAGAAAACAAATCCAAAATATTTGTCAGTTTAATAACTTTATTAGGCCTAATAAAGTGGTTGCAAAATATTGTGCAAGCTTTTGAATTACCTGGAGCTTTTCATTGATCAAGATGGTAAACCAAGCAAAATTGGGAGTGCAGAATTCTTCCCAGAAACCACTTGAAATTATCTCTGTACCTGGCAGAGCCTTATTTGAATATTTGTACCCTCCTTTCATTTGCATATTCCACTAATCAAATCCAAGCTTCATGACTTGAACATCAGTCATTTTTTCTCTCCCTCTCTTTTGATGTTCTTTTTGTTTTGATGACCATTTCACCTGATGAAAACTTAAAGCTTCCATAATATTTTGTGACCTTCAAGTGTTTGTTTAATGAAACTTTTCCAGTGATACAGATTTTGACATTTTTTTTGGCTAACATGAAGTGTAATCTCGTGACTTTTTTATTACTCTTTGTAAAAAAAAATAACATACATACAATACAAGGCATACAATATTATGTACAGCAATCAATTCATTTTATAGGTCTAGATTATCCTTGTGGTTAGCACCTGGGAGGAGTTACTGCAGTGAAGGAATGCTGCTACCAGTTCAACCCTTGAAAATTCTCTAAATGCAATTTACAGAGATTTGTTGGCTTTTTTTGAATGCACATAAAGGAGCCACAGCAACCTAACCCTTGCCCTGCCATTGCAGAATGCGCATGGAGATCACCTGTTCCCTCTATTCCAATGAAAGGCATATGTGGCTTGAACATTTTCTTTAAGAGACCAGGCTGAAATAGTATGTTGAAAAATTAAGTGCTCCCTTAGTATGTGCTGTGCATGCTCATGCACTTTGATGCTGAGTGCAGAAGTCCAACTTTCTGTAGTTCTCATATCCATCCTTTGATACAGAATATGAATGTGGGGGGCAATATCTGCAGCATTCTTATGTCCATTCTGGCCCTGGAATAGCAGAGAGAAAGAGCTTAACAAGGTACATCAGTTATTAGCCACAGATGCTTGAAATATGTTTGTCTTTCTACCTGGAGACTTGAAGATTTACTTTGGTCCACAGTTTTTCATTATAAAATTCACAAGGACTAAGATGGTGTTTCCTATGGATTTTTTTTTTTTTTTGCCCTCTTCCCTGAGAATTAATGGTGTACTTTGTGAAACACCTATGGTACACTGAGACACAAATTTTCAACATCCCTTGTGCTGAAACACTTAATGCACAACTCTCAGCAACCTCATTGAGTAAATGATCTTCTAGGTCCCCTCTATAATACAATGCTAAGGTCAAGCATTTTTATGTTTGGCTGGTTCTTTACCGTTACTATAAAATAGGGTAGCTAAGCTCTATAAAAAGGAAACCTTGTGGCTCAGATTTACTGTGTTATATGTTCTAAACAGTTTAATAAAACAAAGCTTAAACCTTTCTGGATTTTCTTCAGTGGTTAATCCAACACATATTGTTTGCAGAGCCTAGCCTCCGTCTGTAGGTCGTACTGTGGTTCACAGACTTGGTGCGAGTAATAAGATTATAAAACATGTCTCTTGCTAGCCCAGCAACCACATACTACTAATAATAGTTGTAATAATTCATTGGATCCTGAGATTTTAGGTGAGTTGGTTTTTTTAAGAAATGGAAGGGGGGTGGAACACAAGAAGTCTTGAAAGGAAACAGGTCATTGCCCATATCCTCTGGGGAAGGCAAACAAACTAGACATCCTTTCAGCACCAGTGGATCATAGTGCCATTTTATAGCTGCTAAAATTATATTGTCCTTGTCCCATGATAATTTTTATGGGATGCATGGGAAAACAAAAGCCAAAAGGAGACGAAGGTGTGAACAGCACACTTTTAAAAAACAGCTTCTGTAAAAAGTTCTAAAATGTTTCAGCATCATACCAGAGAACTGTCTAGGTAGCTGGAGAATGAAGGTGCACTGTTAGGATTCAAAGTTCCATAAACTCCCAGCATCCCAAATAACTGTGTAGTGGGTTCTGGTGGTTCTTCAATTGATGTCCAAAGAATATGTGCACATTTGACTGGTTCTTTAGGTTTACTTTTCTGAGAATCTTGAGGAGACTGATGGAAGGGTCATAGAATTGCTGCATATTGCCACATTCTAGATAAAATTTCTGGTCTATAGTGTTTGCCATGGGGTAAAACAAGGCCAGGTTGAAATCTCCAAATGGGTTTTCATCATATGGGAGGAGTGCAATCCAAACATCCGTTAACCCAAACATAGATACACAACTTGAGTATTTCAGTCATTTTAAAATCAAACAGATTTGTCTCAGTCATATGAAATTTAAGACAACATATGTACATGATAAGGCTCAAAAGCTTAAAAAACCATTTGCTGCAATTTAAAGAATTTTCTTTGAAATTCACATTTCTCCTGTTTTGTAACCATTTTGTGTATTCATCATATACTTTCTATATTTTATTTTTTTCTGGATAAATGCTCTGAAACAAATGAAGTTGCAGTGATTTTGTTGTTCTTTGGAGAAGAACATAAGAAAACCATGCTAGCTTATTCCAGTGGTCCATCTAGTCCAGCTCATGGTGACAAACCAGCTACCACAGGATCCTGTGCCCAATCTCCTCTACAACTAGTGTATGCGGGCATACTGCCTTTGACAATGGAGGAAGCAATTCATTGAGTGCTAAAGATTGATAGTCACCTCCGTGAAATTATCTGGTCCCCTTTTAAAGCCATCCAAATTGGTGCCCATTGCTGCTACTTGTGCCAGTGAATTCCGTAGTTTTAACTATGTGCTGTGTGTAGAAGTACTTCCTTTTAAGTGTACTGAATCTCCCACTAGTCAGCTTCATGGGATGACCAGAAGATGGGGAAAATGTTTCCCTCTCCACTTTCTCCACCCCATGCATAATTTTAGATACCTCTGTCATATCTCTCCTTAACTCACCTTTTTTCTAAGCTCATTTCCAGTTGTTGTAACCATTCCTCATACGAGAATTGTTGCATTTTAGTTGCTGCTTCTCTACACATTTTTCAACTCATTAAGGTTCTTTTTCAGGTGTGGCAACCAGAACGGTACCCAAATATTTCAAGTGCAGTCGTACCAAAGATTTATATAAGCAGATTACAATCCTGGCAGTTTTGATTCCTTTCCTACTTATGCCCAACATGGAATTTGCCTTTGTCTAACAGTTGCACACTGTGTTGATGTTTTCATCAAACACTCTACCACAATCCCATGATCCCTTTCCTGCTCAGTCACTGCTAGCTCATATCGCATCAGCCTATCCTTGAAGTTGGGATTTCTCCCCTCCCCAGCTTGCATTACTTTACATTTGCTTCCATGGAACTGCTCTTGACATTTTCCCAACTTGAGGTGATCCCTTTGAATCTCATTATCCCCTTTGCTTTTAACTGTCCTAAATGGTTTAGTGTCATCAGCAAGCCTGGCCACTTCAGTGCCTACCCCTAATTCCAGATAATTTGACTAGAAGAGGTTGAAAAGCACTTGTCCTCTCTCGCTCTCGCTCTCTCTCTCTCTGGATTTATATCCTGCCTATAATACTGTCCTGTGGGGCACTACTAGTTAGACCTCTCAATTGGGCTCCATCATTACTAGAGTAGCTCAGGAGCCTTTGGTAAGGGACTCTGTCAAAAGCCTTTTGGAAGTCCAAGCAAACAACATCTATGAGATCGCCCCCGTCCACTTGCATTACTGACATTCTCAATTCTATTGTGAGACAGGATTTAACTTCATGGAAGTCATGTTGATTCTTTTTTGGCAGTTCTTGTCCTATGTGCTTAACTGATTCTTTAATGATGCTTTCAATCAGTTTACCCAGAAATGATGTAAAATGAACTGGATTATAATTCCCCAGTCCCCTTTTAAAAATAGGTGTTACAGTGGCCATTCTCCAGGGCCTCTGGTACAGAGACTGATCTTTGGGACCTACAGGTGATAGTCTATTTATATATAGCCAACGTATTAAATGACTGATTGTAAAAAGGGCAAAATAAGTAAGGATAAGTCATGTTGCAACATTTTGCACACACAGATCCCATGAAAGGACTTAGGAAACTACATTTATTGTTCAAAAAAGAATACAATTTTCAAATCAAGAAATTTCTACAAAAGCTAAGGAACATATAAAATCACTTATCCTCAGGTGCACGGGAATGTAAGTTAAGGCAGCCACATTGCTTTTGCATCATCAACAGAAGACCCATAAGTTGCCTTTCAGGTTGTATACTGCTTTGAACCTTAGGAAGCAGTTTGGCTCAAAATTCATACAAAAATGCATATGGAGTGTATTGAATACAGAGCCTTATTTTAGGGGCATGCTATTTAAATATTCTCCTGCATTAAAAAAAAAATCTGAGAAAATGAGACAAAGCAGACTCCATGAGGGATTTTGCAGGCTCACGTCATGCTTCATTACATCTTAGTGTCTGTACCCCCACACTTTCCCTCAGTGAACAGAAGGAGATTGTAGGTGGAAAGACCAAAGTGTAGGTATGTGGAGGCTAAGTTGAAATTGAGTAAAATATGGGGAACTTTAGAAGTGCGTACTGATAACCTGACACAGACATTAAGGAGGACGCTTTAATTTGCCCATTTCTGTACTTTCGTGCATGAGTGCATTAACTCTTATCAAGAGATGGTTCTTTGATCTTGGTATAACTGGGTTTCATGCCTGATTATCCCACAATGAGGCCTAGGTTCCATATTTGGTGTACCGAGGGTGGAAAAGGATCAGTAAGTTTATTGTAATTCTTGTCTAGGAGTCTTTCAGTTGAGGGTATAGCCTTCCTTGCAGTCATGTCTACATATGGCTCTTAAAGCCAAAGACAGGTAGCATTTTTGTAAGAAGACAGAATGTGGCCTGAGGGCATCTCAGTGTGCATGTTCAGTGCATTCGTGTCTCACAATCATTTATTGTCAAGCAAGTGCCACAGGTTTTGCTGGACTGCCACAAATTGCTGAACCTTTGAAGAAATTATAAAGCCCATAAGCAGAAGAACTTCTGTCATACTAGTGTCAGCTCTCAACAATGAGCTTTTTTTTGGGGGGGGGGGGGTTGAAAGGCCTTTCAGTAGATTAGAATGCTAACACTGGGGACCAACCTAAACATTTAGTGTCTAATTGTGCACTACGTGAGTAATAGAGCTATATGTGATAGTTCTCTTTGCTGTTGTGTAAGTGTGCACCACTCTGCTTTGAACTGAACTGTGATTCCCCAAAGAAAAGGTTAAAAATTCTTCCCACCTCCATAGAGGAGGAGGTTCCAGTTGTAGCTTTCCAACCCTTTTTAAAAGCCCACTGTAGGGTACAGGGTGAAATTGTGGGACAAGTATGAAAGGTTTAAATATCTCCCCTTGGCTTCCTGGGGACCTAATCCAAATATGGACTATGTGTGCTTGCATAGTAAGTATGGTTCATTGTATTACTGTTCTTATTATATTGCATTTATACCCCACCTTCCTTCCTCTTGCAAGGTACCCAAGGTGGCTTACATAGTCTCCCCCAGACCATTTTATCCTTACAAAAACAACCATGTGAGGTAGATTAGGCACAAAGTGAGCGACTGCCCTGAAGTTACCCAGTGAGCTTCATGACTGAGCAGAAACTCAAACCTGAATCTCCTGTCTCTAGTCCAGCCCTCTAATTCCTTAATGGCTATTAGTGATAAATAAAACTAATACACCTAGCTCCGTTGTGTATAATTAGACTTAGCATTTAGTTTGATTGTTGTCCTATTTGGGAACAAATGGAGAGTTTTCATCTCAAGGAATTCTTAGGTTGACAAGAATTGTATTAGTTCTGTTTATACATTTAGTGATGAGGAATTAGTGATGCTAAACCAAAGTCTAAATTTTGGGTGCCAGGGGGAGAGGAGTCAATATCCTTCCAGAAAACAATCTATTTTTTGTTTGTTTATTTCTCATATTTGTGTAACACGCGCCTTCTTTCTGCTCTTTCTCTAAACAGGTGAAAAGTCCAGAGAATCGTCATAGTGTGAGTTCCCAGTACAGGATGCATTCTTTCTATCCTTCAACTTCCTATTTGGGACAGAGTGTTGGGGGGTCCACCTGTGTCCCCCAAATTTTCACTTTTGAGGAAAGCCCCTCTTACTCGGAAACAAAAGCAAATGGTAAGTATATCATTCTCCAGATTTTATGTGGGAAGACGCGGGTTTCCATATAATACTTTGAACTAGTCAGGAATGTATAGTGTTGGAGAGTCAAAAGTGACTAGAATAATAACAAAATTATTTCAAAATGGTTCACTTGCCCTCTGTTTTTTCTAAAGCTTTGTTCTTACCCCACCTGCTAATGGGTAGCAATAATTGTATTTGTTCGTTTTTATTGGCCACTTTCCCATGTAAGACCTTTCTATTTCTTTAGTGGACCTTCCATTTGGTTTTAGAGCCTGCAGCAAACTCATTGGGTTGACTCCAGCAGAATGGATTTCCCCTCCCCCTTTCAGATGCCTCATATGCTCACCCTCCTATTTGCTTTTGAGGGTGAGAACAAATTCTAGAACATATTTGGGGATGTTCCATGAAGGAATTTGGGCAAAGGGGTTCCTTTATGCTGCTGGACTTCTGTACACCCAACTGTTGGATCCAAGCCCATGATGCTTCTTTCTTTCTAACATTTAATTTTTTTGTCTAACTGGGTACTTTTAAAATGTAGTATGGGGGGATATAAAAATGCCCCAAATGTGTTTATAACTCTAATCGGATTTGGGGAGAAGAGCACTGTGTTGTTTAGCATTTTCAGACTGTATAAATTGCTGCACTTTCAATCAATATTGACTCTTGTCTAGATGATATTCCAGATACTGATATTGTTCCCTAAGTTATCTCATCAATCAGCAATGGACAAGCAGGGAGATGTAATTTACTGAGCTGAAGCCGTGTTTTCTAAGCTCTGATAGAGTGTTTTTCCATAGCAGGGAACCTGCCAGCATGAGAAGCACAGGTACAATTATGAAGGGTGTGAATAAAAACACATGGCACACTTTTCTGATGGTCCTGCTAATAGTCCTCCTGCTTTCCTAACACACTGATCATTTCAAATACAGGAGGTATATTTTTCAGTCCAGAGGCAGACAAATGTCTTCATCCCAGTCTGTGTTAGCTCTGCTCCCTAAAAACTGCCATATCATGGGCTGTCTTCCAGTTCAGACAGGAGGGAGTAGACAATAGAAACCTCTACAAATCTTACCAAAGTGGAAGTATTCAAATAAACCTCTTCTTCCTCTGTACCCCTATGTTAGATGTCAGAATTAAGTTTTAACTACTGTCTGCTTGGTATAGACATTAACTTTATTTTGCATTTTGTTGACAAGTGTGCGTTCTCTCATTGTATAGTGCAAGCATTGAATGCAAGTGTGTTTCAGTTTCCTGAAAATCTAATATGTGACTCAGGAGTGTAGAAATATATTGGGCAGGGCTGGATGACTCCCCACCTGGTTTTCCATGGGTCCAGTGATGTCAGGAGGGTGTGACCATGTGTTTTGAGGACATGGAATGCCCTGGTAAAGTGGTGTCTGGAACTCCTCCAACTGGCAACAGAATTGAGGACTCAGTTTTCTTACCACACAGCTTTCCCCATTGAAGAGCAGACAAAGTTCCAGTTATAAAGACAAATGGTGCTCTGTTACCTCTGCTCAAAGATCAGCAAGTATGCATCACTCTAGCTGTCCTGATGGAGTGTGGCTTGGATGACCCATTCCCTGGTCTAACCTTTTAAGGGTTTCCAGTCTTTAAGATTGCAAAAAGAGCCTTTAAATATATGAGCACTATCTGATGAAATCTCAGAAGCCAGGTTACATAAAAAATTCTTAAACTGATATTCCATAGGCATAGGCAAAAGAGTTATGGGCAATTTGTGGCTGCTGTTGCCATTTGCTGCATTCATGCAGCAGGGACAACAGGCTGGCTAAATAAGTGCTGGGTTTCCCTATGTGTCTAAATCTGTTACCTACCAGATAAATCCTCCCTGCCTATTCTGATACCTGAACATCTCACTTTGGAATGTTCTTTTTCATTTCCGTTTTGTAGACAACTTTCAGAGCCCTGTTTCCTTCACTGTTGCTAACCACATTCCTCAGCAGACAAGACAAGTTGATCTGCTGGGGAAGAGGAACAGCGAACAGGGCAATTGTTCCCTCTTGAATTCCTTTGGTGGCCTTATAGTGCTGAAATGTTTGCTTTGTTTGTTACAAGGTTTTTATTTTGCCTTTCATCAGTCAAGACAGCTAATACCATTGATTTTAAAAAATCACACTCAAAAGCTGAAAACCATCTAAAATACACACAAAAAGTAATAGTAACATGTGAACACTATTAGAGAGGCAAAAAATGAGCCACTGGTAGGACAATGAAATGGTGACTCGATTGCTCTCTTTTCTGTATCTTTGATGCTACTGATGAAGTCCTTTCTTGCACTCCCTACCAACTGTACATTGAAAGTGGACTGCTCAGAATGGCCTCCCTTGCACCTTGAGTAGACAGGTGGGATTATATGAGGGCAGGTGGTCCATTAGGTATCATGGTCCCTTCAAGTTATAACCAGTATTTGGTATAAAAGAGGAATTACATGTTCTAAAAAACCATCTTGGTCCAAATGTTTTTGCCACTGCATTTTTGGACCAGCTTTTTCTGTACTATCTCTTGAATGGGTTCAATTTCACTATGAAGTGATACAGGACAAAAGCACTCACTGCTACTATTGCTTGGGAATCCCAAACCACAGCTGATTTTTTGAGGGGAGATTATGTGCACACGTATCCAAAACAGCCTGACCTACCCTGGACCTAATGACTAGCAGCACTTTGTGTCGTGTCCTAGGATTAGGCTTCCATTTGTTAGTTCACATTCAGTAAGTAACAGTTCTAAACAATGGTTCAGAAGTCTTCCTGGTCACTCTAGACTGAGAGGAAAAAAAGAAATACTGTGCCAATGTAGTCTGGTAGTTAAGAGCATGGGACTGGGATTCAGGCAATCTGGTTTCTACTTCCAGCTCAGCCAAGGAGCAAACTGGGTTACTTTGGCCAGTCAGACTCTCAACCCAACCTACCTCACAGGGTTTTTGTTGTGGGGATAAGAATGAGAGGAGGAGGAGGAGGAGGAGGAGGAGGAGGAGGAATGCCTGCTGCTCTGAGTTCATTGTAAGAAAAAGGGGGATATAACTTGAATGAATGAATAGTAAATAATGCTGTGTATCATCAGCATGTAGTTATGACATGAGATTGTTGCCTTGATTTTTGTTTACCTAGAATCAGCAACCCTTTGTGGATTAGGAAGCCAACAATATTCATGCTACCTTTACCTTCCCATCAGCTTCTGTTCTTGCAGTGAGTTCAGAACTCTGCTTACTGCTTCATAGCTGAGATGCCAGTTGTGCTGCTATTTCTCTTAGTCTAGAATAGTGGTGATTCAGAGCCTTCTAATTATCTCGGTTTCCGCCTCCACCTTGGCTGTCAGCTCAGTTTAGCATCTCTGTTAACTCAAGGGAATATACAATGAGGAGAAGCTAAAACGCCCTCAGATTTCTGGCATGTGTGCATGTGTGGATAGAAGGGTTGTTGATTCAAGATAACAAAGCTAATTTAACCTGAAGTGTTCCTGGTGATATAAAGAATGAGAGACTGAAAGAGCATTAAAGAGGTGGCTGTCTTCAGATGTTCAGAGTGGTAATTGAAGTAGACTGGGACAGGTGTGCATTGTATGCAGGTAGTTTAATGTTAATATTCAAGATCACATAGACCGGTTTAAAATCTTAACACATTTTAAATGGTCTGCTATATTTGTGGGATAAGTAATTAAAAGAAGATTGGTTTGGTATGTATGTTTGAATACTTAGTATATTTATCCATCTATGCAATTGTAGGTTATACTGCATGTTGGTGATTGTCACTTCAAAGCCAGTAGTTATTTGTTATCTTAGTTCATGACCGTGGTGTGCGTGCGTGTGTGTGGGGTGGGGGGGGCAGTGTTATGAATAAAGAATCTGGATGAATCAAAATTACTTGATTTGAGTTGAGTCACTTGGGCTACAGTCCAGTGTGGTACCTGCTTGGAAATACGGTTTGTATAATCCAGTGAGGCTTAATTTTAGTGATCAGGAGATTAAATCAATTATTTCCATTGCTTATTTTCAAATTCTGCCCCTCAACATGGTGGACTTACTAGATAGCAACATCACATTCACTGTGTGCATCGAACCATTTAAGAAATCAGTCGGAAATATACTTGGAAATATGATTTCTCCAAGTTTGCTCTCATTAACAACTATTTAATGTTGGGGAGCTGTTAACTAGCAAGTTTATTTTCCAGTGCATAGCTGCTCAGAGGCAGAGCTTAGGCCAAGTACAAGTTGAATAACCTTCAGGAAAGCTGTGCTGTCCTTCTGTCGGCCGCTGTCTTTGAAAATTGCCTGCAGAGTTAGTGAGCAGGAACAGTTAAGATTTACAAACAATGATGAAGCTTGTCATGCATCTTTCACCATTCATCATCTGGGTGCCGTGGCTGGGCGGTGAAGTGTTCTTCATAAAAACCAGCTCAGTGTGAAATACACCTCGCTGCAATGTTTACTGCTCTGAAACTCGTCAGAAGCCCTTTATAGTAAATCCAGATTGCGATGTGACATTACAGTATATCATTGCACAGCGCGGTGGGGTTTACACTAGGAATGAGTGCAGTTCACACCAGATGAGATGTCGAAATTGAGTTATGTAGGAATTTGGCTGTTATATGAGGATAGCTTTTGTTTTCTCAAGACTGAAAAGTTAGCTTTATATATATATTTAGATAATATATAATATGCTTTAGTTTCTCTGTATATAAGGATGGGGGCGGAGTACTTACATATCTGTCCTTGCTCATATGTGTCTGTAAGCAATAGCACGTGTATGGGTTTGTGTGCATGGATCTTTTTTGTGTGACACACAAAGTTGGTGGTCTTCATATTAAGTGTGTGTTGTTTCCTATATTGTCTATATGTCTACCAGAAGCTTTTTGTTAAATGTTTAATTATATTTCATCTGACATGTTTGCTAGCCTTGCCAGCTGACCCAAATGCATTTACATATAAGATCCCTGAATAAAAATATTTAAGAACTTGCAGGAACTAAACTGCAACT